TGTTGAAACTTGGTGCAATCATGGTATTTTCAACGTAGAATTCATTTTTGACATTAGATTTGTTTGTATGTCGACGTAATTATACTACTTTGGTTTTTTTTAAACTTCTGGTAGAAAAGAAAAGTTACTCGAAGATAGAATTAACTCGTTCTGGTAAAGAATACGTGTTGAATCGTCGATGCACGATCATATTTTCATCTTAGAACCAATTTTTGAGCTTACTTTTGTTATTTTTTTCACATGTATACATGCTTACGAAGGATTTAATTCAAAAATCGATCGGAATGCACAAAGAAAATTTACGCAGAGATTTTATCTGTTCCGATTGACATTTCATGTTGCAACTATTGATTTCATGTGATATTTTCATCGAGGAATACAAATTTGATGTGATTTATGTTTTAATTGCTCGATCAAAAGACAAAATGAAGCTATTTTTATCGATAGTATATGATCTCTCAATGTAACGAATGCTCATATTTCTATATCCATTATGAAAAAAATATCATATTACCGTTACCTTCTGAGACCAATGAAAAATTCCAGTTTATATTATTCCAAGAAACAATTTCGAACCTATGATTTAAAATATTTATTGAAAGATATCAATGTACAAGGTTTTTTTTTCTTTCTTTCTTTCTTTTTTTTTTTTCTTAAAGACTTTATATACGAATTTAAGTTTATACATAGCCATTGCAGGGCACAAAACCTATCAACGAAACTTAAAATTAAACGATCAACACTGTCTACGAGATTAAATTGCACCGTAAATCGGTCCATATCATATTACGAATCACGATATCTCAGAATCAGTTGGGACACTTCCACCGCTTCATATGAGATTTTATCTATACCACGCCTGCAGCGCCAAGCGCTTCGGGAGGTTGGGCCTGCGAAGTGGTCAGGAGGTGTAACCCCTATTATGATGAATAATTCATTCAAAGGTATTGATAGAACATTCAACATTTTTATTTTCTCCTTAAAATGCCAAACAATCATATAAGATAAAAACAAAAACAGCTCTCTTTCTCCGCCTCGATTGCAAGATCGCGAACCTCTCGAATGATGAATTTTGGCCCAAAAATGGGCAAAAGTAAGGTCAAAATTGAATTCTACGATGAAAATACTGTAAGTTCATCAAGTTTTAAAATGAAAATCCGACTAGGTGTATTAAGACGCCAAGATAATCCAGCAAGATGTCGAGAAACAGCGAATTCTGTCCTCACTTTTTCGGACAAAAATCGATGTAACTCTCAAAGTGGCATCTAGTGGCAGCCAAATACGACGGATTCCTCATCCTGAGGGATCACTGGAACACGCCTTATGCATGATTGGACGGCGAAATGCGGCGAAATTTTTAAAAGTCTATTCAAACTTTTATTTTCTTATTTTCGGAAGGGTCATCTTTGATCAGACATTACAGCGTATAAAATTGAGTAAATTTAACTTTTTAATAGTGAAATATGTTCTTCATACACTCTAGAATAAGATCCAAGCATTCATATTCGTGTCAATTATTGCCACTCGAAGAGGCAGGTATGGAAACCGACCTTAGAAAACAGAGTAAAATCGGCCGTTACAGAAAATGCCAACTTCAGAACTCCAGGGGGCAAAAGCATTTGACAAAATCATCAAACCAACACTAGATTCATATAATATGGATCCTTAGGAACACATTCCATTATCATCATCATTAATATAAACTTCGAAGGATTCAGACTTTCAGCGATTCTACCTTTTTCTATTTCACTCGAGAGGTTGCCAGATTGTGCGATAAGTGTGAATATTTTACATGGATTTGAACTGGGAAAAGTGTTAATAAAGCAACTTATCTGGCAACAATAGAGTCCGGGAGGGAAGAGAGGCTGCCTTCTTGGGAAAATCCATGATTTAGCCGGAAATGTCATTAAAACAATTGATTCCGTTTGAAGCATCAATTGTATACTAAGGGGAAGCTATTTTAAAATAATAATTGTAAATGGACACAGATGCTACCGAAAGGGAAAAAGGAAAGGGAAAGGAAATGAAATGAGGATACGATTACTTATATGCAATCAGAATGAATAAAACAAAAACATCAGAGAAATTTATATGGGATGAAAGTATAAGGAAAAAAAACACGAGTGGGCTCATTGCGATTCGGAACTCGAACTATATACTATCGTTGAGCAGTTTTTAGACTCCTTCGCCACCGATAATCTTCTTAAGAGGTAGAGATGAACTTTTGCTACTTCAGCAAGTCAAATCGCGGAAGGAGATCCATGGATTGTCTTTTTCCGTCACCCGATGGGATGATGTCCCAGTCAAAGGCGTTTTTGAATAAATGATCGATCCCCATCATCGCTTCATCTCCACACACCTATTCATGTGCAAATGATGGCACGCTCCGGCAACAAGGTTCCGTGACGAAATCATTTATGCCTCCAGAAGTCAAGAGTCTCCGAAATGTATACATCTTAATGATTAAATGTCCAATCACTGAGAAAACTGGCTCGCGGAGCGAGTGATCGGGGGTCCAGGGGGCGCAGCCCCTTGGTTGGCCGTGACGGACGCGCGAAGCGCGCCCAGAACGGCTAGTAACTTTATACAAAACATGAGAACACCCCATGTCCGAGGTTTTACCCATTTCGTCCCACTGTGGGCCGGTCCCGGTTCCGTAGAGAATAACTAGGTTAAGAATACAATTAATTATTCATTGAATAATTAACTAACCAAACTAATAGATTTGAAAACTCATGTACTGAAATGGACGTATTTATGCGAAAAGGCGCTAAACGCCATTTCCAAACTTTTCAGTAAAGCAAGTTTGACTAAAACCATTGGCGTTTCCGCACAAATGGACCGATTTTGGTTTACTTTAGCTTGTTTGAAAACTGAAGAGTTCCTCTATTTGCACACTTTGCCAAAATTACGAAAAAATGCATATTAAGCGAGATATAGGGGATTTTGCACGTAGGTCCATTTGATTTAATGCGCTAACCCGGATTCCGAATTAAATCAAAAGGAGCTATCTCCACTCGATTGACGTGCGCGCGGCGGAGCTTGATGGAAACTTGGTGAAACTCAGTATCGGGGGGTATTTTCGGACGGGAAACTCGAATTTCGGGTCAAATTTTGAAAATTCAGAAATCCAAGATGGCGGACATGGCCTAAAATGCTATCTCGGCTCCTGTCCAGCCGATCTTGGTGAAACTTGGTTTCAGGGGGTATTTTCGGACGGGAAACTCGAATTTCGGGTCAAATTTTGAAAATTCAGAAATCCAAGATGGCGGAGATGGCCTAAAATGCTATCTCCTTATTAAACAAACGCACTTTACGTCTAGAATGGCCGCCAATGAACCTGCGTTACGCGCACGGGCCGGGTTGTGAAGGCCGGAGGGGTTGGGAGCCCAAATATACGTACCTAACCTCAATCTGCATTCCCGCTGCATCTTGCCAACGTGGATTAGATGTGAAAATTTCCACGTTTGTAAACTTTAAATATATGGCACTCTAAGTTCACAATACACCGAAGTGTGTTCGAGGTGCGTGGTTTGCCTAGCAGCGTCGGATCGTGAATTCCCTTCATGTGCGGATTACCTATGTTAAAATTTTGTTAAAAACCTCCGGCCTTCACAACCCGGCCCGTGCGCGTAACGCAGGTTCATGGGCGGCCATTCTAGACGTAAAGTGCGTTTGTTTAATAAGGAGATAGCATTTTAAGCCACATCCACCATCTTGGATTTCTGAATTTTCAAAATTTGACCCGAAATTCGAGTTTCCCGTCCGAAAATACCCCCTGATACCAAGTTTCACCAAGATCGGCTGGACAGGAGCCGAGATAGCATTTTAGGCCATGTCCGCCATCTTGGATTTCTGAATTTTCAAAATTTGACCCGAAATTCGAGTTTCCCGTCCAAAAATACCCCCTGATAGCTAATTTCACCAAGTTTCCATCAAGCTTTGCCGCGCGCGCGTCAATCGAGTGGAGATAGCTCCTTCTGATTTAATTCGGAATCCGGGTTAGCACATTAAATCAAAGGGAATTACACATAGTTCTTTCCGATTTTATTTGTAATCGCTGATTCCCTGTTTTGCGATTTTTCAGGGGCTGATCCCAGGGGATGAAATTAGTATTTTGGGGGCATATTTACATGTGAGAGCAGCTTATTACATGGAGAATCCAGATCCGTTAAAAACTGAAATTTGGAAATTTGGCGCTTAGTTCCCTTTCGTATAAATACGTCCAAATATTCTATGATATTAACTTATTTTAACTTTTATAAGATACGATTTATCCATAACTTCCAACAACTCACATTTTTGAGTTTTCAAGAACAGCTTGATTATTTGTATACTAATTGTTATATTTTCTATGAATAAAAAAAAAAAAAAAAAATGACCTTGACGTTACTGAATGAAGGGTCGGGCCGATTTCCACCAAAAATGAAACGTAACGTATATCACATAGCAGTGAAAAACCATGCTTAGTTTCATTTTGATTGTGTTTATAGTTCCGGAAAAAAACGGTCGCAAAGGTACATTAGCTCTCAGTTTTAAATATATAAATATGTATCGTATGTCTTCGATGAGCTACATTTTTCAACTCAGGGCTTCAGGATCGATGCTCTCTGAGCGTCAATTCTTGAAAACTGCGAGGTTGTGCCGTCCGCAATAGGTAGATATTTCTTCGAACTCTACCTAAAAAGAGAGGTGATAAGATTGTGCGTAGCACTGTACTTAACGAGCAGAATTTCGATCTATGGAAGTTCGGTGCGCGACGCGTACCATACCACGCGCTCAATACTACCCGAAGGCTAATCTCCCACGGCTGCTGTTGTTACCAACATAAAATACCAAATTGTCAAACAATAAACATAGCTCAACATAATTCACACTAATTATCAGGTAATTCTGCAAAAGGAAGTACCTAAATATCCATCTGAAATGTACAGGTAGGTACGGAACATGCATGTCTCGAATTTCAAGGTACAGCTATGATTTAAATCTATAATTTGTAGGTCGTCTCTCCAGTTAGCAGATCTTGAGAGAAATGGTGGAGTTTCGCCTCACATTTCTCCATTCGTCAAAGTACAAGACATTGGGAGTTTGCTGAACAGAGCCGGTTTCACAATGCTCACAATCGACACAGATGAAATTGTCGTTGGATATCCTTCAATGTTCGAACTAATGCAAGATTTAAAAGGTAGGCGTCTCTTAAATTTTCGTATCTGATTTTAAAATATTTTAAGTAAATTCTGATGAATAGCCAGGACTAATTTTAGATGATCAAATATCATTCAATGTAGTGGCCTGTGGCCCTCAGCGGCCGCCAACCACTGAAAAAAACCATGCGTAAAAAATCGTAGAACAACCATTTTCAAGTCATTTTACAGATGGATGGATTCACAGCCGACGGATGCACGCGAAAGGAAGCGTATTTATCTCTGATTGCAGCAGTATGACCACTTTTGTGATTTATTGTTAATCGGTGTTTTGAAAAGCTACCTACACACAATGTTTTTGAAAAGTTTCTGCGACTTTCCCTAACTGATATCAAATAAAAGTATGAAAAATCTAGACGCCATATTTTCGCTCGTTCTATTTTCTTTTCATGTAAACGATAAAAATGAAACATCATCCGAGTTTCTGAATCGTTACCATGAGGATATGCCGGTTGCGCCGATTGAAAAAACAGCAAACTAAAAGGCGAAAACTCAAAAGAACAAGGTTTCGAGAGAAACGAATAACGTGTATGCACATCAGAGACAAAACATGACAGGGTTGAACCGAAGGCACAAGTGTTTCGTTTTGTCGGACACTAGGTACTTTTGTGTTGGCTGCTGACATGACACCATTGTTGTCTGCAGTGCATATACAGTGCAATACAGTGCAGGGTTTAGGCAAAAACTTTTCCTGATCTATTTCCTTCAAAAATTCAATTACCCACTCAATCTCTACAATTGCCTCATTCATTGCTATGTACTTGGCGTGGGTGGTTGATGATGTTGGACATTTTTGTTTCCTTCTTCGCCAAATAATCGCCCCTTCTACTAATGTAAAGACAAAACCTGAAATAGGCTTTGTGTCTAAGTTATTAGCTCAATCACAGCCAATATACGTGGTTCGTGCGGCCTGGAAAAGTGCTTGATCATGAAATTATTTTTCAAGGCCTTGAAAGTGCTTGATTTTTGGGGAGGGTGCTTGAAAAGTTCTGGAAATTTACTTCTTCCTAATTTTCAGTGGTTTAAAGGGTGGTCCTCTTTTTTCGACTTTTCGAAAATTAAAGGTTTAATCCCCCAAAAACTTTTAGTTTGAAATGTATCTACAAAAAATGTCAGCCGGATCGGGTCATCTTAAGTGGTGCCGCAGCGGCCGACAAGTTCCCAGGTGGGAACTTCAACATTTTAAAAATCCCCCCCCCCCTTTTAATCGTCGCTACGAAGTTAAAATATTTTAAGGTACCCCACTTTTTAGGCCATTTCACGAAAAAATAACACAATTTACGTCATCCTTTTTAAAACCCCCCTTTCCCCCTTCGAAGTGGTGCCGCATTGTACGATTTCGCCGATTTTTCGTAACATTCTCCCGGCGCGGTTTGCCTGAACGAGTTTAAACTTTTCGACAAGTCAAAAGCAAAAACTTCAGATTCTTGGAGTATGGTGTCCACCGAATCATTGAAGCCCAAAAGGAAAACATTTTGTTGAGCTCTTGGAAAATAAACTTTATTTAAAGGTATTTCGGGGCTAAAATGGGCAAATTTCTGGTAATAGCTTTGAACTAAATCAATATACTAAAATGCACGTTAAACGAATTGAAGACTTTTCGACCCGCAAATTCGATTGAGAAGCGAGCTCAGGGCACTTCAAAGTTTAAAAAAAAAATAAGGACGCTATTCTACCATGGTTGGGCCGCTGAGTGACGTGGTCGTGACGTCCTTATCAGCCGCTGACTGCCGTGACTGCCGCTTTATCCTTGCGCTCCGCTTGAAACCGCCGTTTCTTTATCCCTGTCGCCTTGTCATATGATGAAATGGGTTGCATACTGAAGAATATATTGCACTGGTGACTGGTGGAAAACTAATCATATTTATTGAATGAAATTGTAATAAAATATGACGAACATAATAACAAGCAAGCGCACGGCTATGGCGGGCCGTTAGGTCCAAAATTCCCGAATATATTAATTTTTGTGAGAATATATTTTTTTTCCGAATATATATTTTTTCCCGATATATATGTATTTTTTTGAGAATATATATTTTTTTCCTTGAGAATATATAATTGGTTTGAGAATTTATTTTTTCTCAGAATCTATAATTTCTCGAAAAAAAAAAAAAAAAAAAAAATT